CCTCACTCAACGAGTCGAGTCTGGAACGCAACAGCGGGGGGACAATCACGTCAATCCCCGGACGAGGACAAGAGCCGATGACCAATGAGTCAACCCGCCTTGCATCTAGAGCTATCTATCACAAGTTCTTTTCCTCTTTACGCACGATTCCTCTGTGAATGATGCCCAACGCCGACGAAGAAGCTACCTAGCTAGATACCTAGACGGCGAGATAGGCGGGAACGCTCAGAACCTCTCAACGGGGAGGCGCCGTGTCCTGCCGTCCAGTTTCAGCGGCCGCCCCACGGCGGAAGCATCCCATTGGCCATAGACCCCTGGCATGAGGGGGCCACTGCGCTGTGCTGTGGCCTTGTACCTTTTAGTGGGCGTGCACCGTGTTAAGCACTGAATTTGGCGGGGTTAGAAGGAGAGGCAGCTCTAAAAGGGACTTTGGATGGAGCGCGTCTTGAGACACGAGGAGCGCTGCTTTAACGGTCAGTTCCCCCTACTCCTTGCATGGTGTGTGTGTGTGCTGCGAGTGAATTGCGTGTTGGACAAGATTCGAGGCTTCATTGTTCAACGGTTTTTTTTTCTTCCTTTGCAGATTTCGAGTTGGGGTTAGTATACCGTTAACAATGCAGGGCAATTATCTATGACGAAAATCACACCTGCACTTTTTTTCACATTGATGATCGTCAAAACGTCCAACCTCACGACTCACATTCCCACTTATCACAGCTTCTCTAAAGGCAGCCATGTTGTCCTACCGTATCAGGCAATAGTGCCTCGACAGGGTGGGCGCGTCAACTCCTCCAAGGCGTGTTGTGGGGAGAAGAGGGCCGTTCCCCCATCTCTCGCGAGCCATCCATACCATCCCACCTTGAGAAAGTCGTCGCCTTGTCCGCCCTGTTCCAACGTCTACAGGCAATGGGCATCTCGCTCCCTCGCGACTTTTCTTGTCGTCCACTCCATTTCGTCCGCCTGCGATTCCGTCGCCGTCTGTAGCGACGAACCATCCGATCCAAGTATATATAACGCCATCCCTCCTTCTATCGCCTTCGCCCCCTTCTCGTTCGCGCCGTGGTTAGTACTTCCATCCCGTCTGCCTCAGGATCCCACGGCTCTTCCATTTCCTTGTTTCCTCGCCTGGCTTTCCCATGGACTCTGCGCCCGTCTGGATTTTCCGTCAACGACTCCCACTGACGATCCTGTAGTGCGATGAACTGAAATTAGGCGGCCGCTCTGCCTGCGACCCGTCTGGGCCTGGTTGAGGGCCCGTGACACCTCATCACGGCACCCATCTCTCGAACCAAGCTGCGATATCTACGCAACCCCTCCAAGATCCTCCATCGCCAGCCCGGACTCTTCATCTACATCGACGGCACTCGAGCCTGCCTGCCCGCCCGCTCCCGATAAAGGCCCCGCGACATGAGCGCGCGCGCGCAACGACTTCCCAATGGCAGCGACTCCGTTCGACCCGTCCCACTTCGCCAATGCGTTTGATATCTACACTGATGCTGCCACGGTCAAGGCGCCGGTTCCCAACCTGCCCGGGGGATCATGCAATTTTGCGGACTTGAGCCCTGGCGCCAATGGAGCTCGATGCGGATGCAGGAGGTTCTGGAGTCGAAGTCCCGCCGGCAACAGCCTTGTCCCGGGTCAGTCCCAATGGTGCATGTGCAATCACCACGCCTGCTTCCACGAGGAGGGAGACCATAATGTCCAGCAGCCTGAAGCTACCCAGCCGGGTCAGGAGAATGAGAGGCCCAGGTCTGGTCGAGATCCCTTGAGCCCCGTCATGGACCTAACCATCAAGACACCGTCTGCCCTTACTGGAATGGACTTCTCAAGCTTCAATGGAGGAAACGCCTTATCTCTTATTCCAAGGGCCCCAGAGGATGCCGGATCTTACCCAAGGCCTCCCGTCTGTTCAAACCCTGGCGCTTCTGCTTCACTCCCGGATACCCTCAGCTGGACCGGACTTCTCCACTCACAACCGCACCCATCTGCCATACCTCCCATACCGGCCCAATGCTTGATTGCGTCTCAAACAGCTTCCACAGCCTCATCTATCCAGGCCAAGTATTTACGGCCCTTCGCAGGAAAAGGCCTCCAGACGCTCAGTGGTGTGGCGAACAGCAGCAAACCCCTATCTCCCCTACTGGACAGGACTCCCGGCTCCAAGCCAGCTGCGGTGCCCCAGGGACAGGCGCCGCATGCTGACTCGTTCACATACGTTTCTCAGGATTACAAAGTGCCCGACACTCCTCGCGCGGGCACGCCAACACAGTCGGAGCCACGGGCGGCCGTTTTCAATGCGGCCGTCTCGCGTCGCGCTTTCAAGAACCTCTCAGATACTGTCAGCAGCCATGACCAGCGATTGGATCGGTTGGAGACAGTTTCGTTCACTGCTCCTGGGCACGAGGATTGTCATGAAAAGCATGATCATGCTGATATCCGCATGACAGATCTGGAAAGCAGAGTGGATGAGGTTGAGAGGCTCGTCAATGACAACAACAGTGTTGCCTCTCGCCGCGCCGATGATGCCAGCGTTGTGTCGGTTTCTACAAATGCCACGAGCCGGCCAACTCATTCACAAGAGCTCATGAGCCAAGTTCAAGAGCTGCAGGCGCAAGTCACCCATCTTCAGTCATTAATGCCCTCGCCCAGTCATCCGTTCGAGGTCGAGGTGGTGTTTTTGCCATTTCCTCTTAAGAAGGTATGGCAAGAGGCACAGCAGTTCAAGAATGAGCCCCAGATTTCTAATGAGGATTGGACTCAACTCCCCATGACACACAGTACAGCCACTATGCGGTCTGAGACGTCCCTGTATCCCGACTGGACAGCCTCAGACCAGGACTTGAGGTGGCTGTTGCCCAAGGCCTTCCGGGACAAGAGTGTCATCGATCAACGGTTACGAAGCCGTGGGCTTATCAAGACCATCACTGTCATGGGCTCGGATGCTCGCAGCGTGACAATGGCTATGAACACGGCATTCGGACATGTCTTTCGGGAGATGAACATCTTTGCCCGTCCACAGACTACAGATCCCCGTTCATCGACATTCCTGGGACTTCAGTCGACCTGGGTTCCCCTACGCAAGATTCATAAGGACTCGCGTCTGCGCTTCCTGAGCCCTGCAGAGATGATGACACCCGCCGTCTGGGACGTGTCGTTCCTGAGTTCGGTCATGATGAGGGCGTCTGAACCTAGATTGTTCATCACCCATCCTGATGCCTACCTCCAGGACTTCCAGGCCTACGACATGGGCTGGACTTGGCAGAACCTCAAGGAGATGAGCCCAGTCGTCATTGATGCGTCGGCGTCGCAGGCAGATGCTAATGTCGGCGAGGAGTGCTGGTCTTGGGTTGAGCAACTTGACGAGCCACCGAGCGCACACACATCTATGAGTGTGCGCAATGAGAGGCAGCCAACGTCATCATCGCCGTCGCAGCAATTCTTCCCTGCTCTGCAGACGATGCGGTCCTCGAGTCCTTCAGTTACACGAGGCCAATCTCCGCTACTCTCTAGCCGGAGAGGGTCTCGTCCTCCTCATATCCGAACCTCCTCCATGCCCATGTCTGCTCCTATTCAAATCTCGCCTGCACTCAGCAAACGACGTGTCGCCTCGTATGGACAGAGCCGTCGTTCATCCCCTGCCATCCAAGCCGCCAACCCTCAGTCAGCCATCATGAAGCGTCGTCGCAGCACAAGATCGCCAAGTCATTTTCGGTTCACGCCGAGACGGACGCACTCGCCAAGTCCCATGCCCCTCGGCCTCTCGGATCGTCAGCCAGCGCGTGGCACTACACCATTTGCTTATGCCACACCGTTCAGCAACGCTCCTCTCCAGGAACGCCCTGTCCGGGCAGGCAGCTCTGCACCAGCTGCTGTCCAAGATGGGTTAGACGACGACTCAGACTTTGACTTCCAGATCTGCGAGAGTGGTTCGGATGACATGTATGACGATGACGACGAGAGCTCTGGTGTGGTCGAGATGGTTGTTCAAGATCACACAAATTCCAATCAGGGCTCTCAGGGCTGGCAGCTACCAGAGGATGAGCCATGGCCTGGCATTGAAGACCCAAACAATGTCTCGGATGGAGAGAACATCGATCCTCTCCAGGCGGACCATCACAGCAACGCCAGCAGCCAACCATCGGAATACCCCAGCACACAGAATGCGTGGCCCAATGGCGACACGTCTGGCTTTCATATTCACGAAGATGAAGAAAACGCGTCATGAAATATCTATCTACCTATCTACTCATGTCCGAGACGCTTGATGCTGCACGATATGGTTCCTTTTTACTCTTATACATCTACCTACCTATTATCCCACATACAACCACCACCTATCATCATCTTCCTCCTCCATCTCATTGATATTTGTACAGCCCGGCGCTACAACGGGACATGTTTTTGTTTTTTTCTGCAAGGCGTTGCTGTTGTGATTTTTCCAAGGCGAGCTGACAGGAAGGAAATCCAAGGTCTAGAGGTGTACGATGCGTTGGGTTACACCAGGACAAAAGACTTGGGAGAAAACACGGCCGGTACTCGTCTCGCCTTGTTGGATTATATGTTGTCGATGGCGCAGAGGCACTCTCTAAAGACCTGGAGTCTCGCTTTTTCTTGTATCACAATATTGCTTCCTCCCTCCCCTTTGTTTCTCAGCTACTGAGATTGTATCCTCAACGAAAAAGGGTGTAACAATACGCCCAAGCCCGCTACTCTCTGTTTTGGACTCTTCTCTCTTGTCCAACATTACTATAGATGTTCATACATAGCTTTAAAAAAAAAAAAGGCACGCCCACTCTTCCCTTGGCATCTGCTGTCCCAGCCTCCAAACCCCGAATACGAAGACACGGCGACACGTGCTGAGTTGCCTGGAGCGGTGAGTTGCTCCATCATGGCTTCAAGGGTCCACAGGCGCAGGAGTAACAGGTGACGATGGTGGAAGCAAGGCCTTATACAGCTCAAGTCTCACAACCCTTCGTCTCGTTCCGGAAACATGGATTCATACAAGTCAAGTCTTGATCTATTCGTGGGCTAACAAAACAGTTGGTATCCGGGTATCAGAAGCCCCATCATGAACGCAATCCATCATCCAAACAGAAAAGCAAAGCCATCCATGGCCTCTATCCCAAGCAGCGCGCCCTGTTGTATCCCCAGTAACCCCAGGCATCGTAAACAACAAGCCAAGACACCCCAACCAAGGAAAAACAAGAAACGAAAAAAGAAACACGGCAAGGCCATGCCCTTTCTAGATGCCAACCAGCCGATTTTCCGGCCCGTACCTATAGTTCCCACACTCATCCAAATGCGATCGTCCGTCTCTCTACCCCGGTTGCGCCGTTACTCCGGCCATCCCGGGGTGGATCGCTTTTGTCTTTCCAAGTTCGATCCGCGTGTGTGTGAGATTCGTGAAACAGCACTTTGTGTAAACGCCAGTAGAAAGCAAATTGGTGTCATGCACCTCGTGTCTAATACCAAGTCCCCTTGGGATCCAGTTTGTAGAGAATCTTGCACTTGCGCGTCTGGCACATCTTTGCGCGATCCAATCCCTTGAATCTAGGGCCATCTGGTCCTGTGACGTAGTGATATTGGCCAAAGAAGCGCCACTGACGGGGGTCGGCCAGTGAGTAAACCTCATCACCCCAGCGGCCGCCGAAATGGAACCAAGAGGTGGGTGCGTGCGGGTTCGAAGCGGCGGGAATGAGGCTCTGAGGCTCTCGCGGGTCGTCGTCATCATCGTCAACCTCCCTCGTATAGTCGTAATGATATGCGTAGTTGTTGAGAGCGGGGTCCCAAAGAGGTCCCTTGTCCGTCACGTCCTTCAGGAGCTTGAAAGGCAAGATGTAGGCGTGAACTCCGGGGAGTGCGTACATGGCATGCGAGCCAACTGCCGAGTAGATGACGGGACGGTCCCCGCGCTTCTCGACAGCCTCGAAGGCGTACGCCTGTCCACCCTCGTGCTCCGAGAAGAACACTCCCCGAGGTTTGCCGTGCTCGAACCGTACCATGCAGTGCTCCCAATCGCCCACATGGTTGCCAAAGCGAATGTTTAGGACCGTTTGTCCCAGGTTATAAGAGTAGAAGAAGAACCAAAAGGCATCAACGATACCAGAACCCTTGTCAACAACGATGAGCACAGCTGGCGCATTCGAGAAGCCATTCTTGTCAGGCTTGTGTCCATTGGTTCGGATAGGCTCTTGCTCAGAACGGCGGTCCTTCTGAAACTTGCGGTTCCGGGGGTCATTAATCCGGTGAAGAGGGTGAGACTTGTCGATATCGTACCAAGTCGTAGGCTCTCGGAGCTCAGGGTTTTGCTCGGGGTTGCCCGGAGGCGTGGGGTTGTTGTCGTGGTTGCCCTCTTCCTCATCAGGGAATGGCTTGGGGATGTTGTGATGGCTGTGCAGCCAGTTCGGGCGGTCTTCGACGTCGTCGTTGCTCTGAAGAATAACGTTGCCAGTGACCTTGTTCAGCTTGTGCAGGTTATGGAGAGTCCACTTCTCGGTCGAGTTGAGAGGTGTGTCGTCGACTTGGACAGTCATGTGCTCGACATGCTCACGGATGTCCGAGGGCCAGAACTCTTCGCCAGAGTAAAGGTGAACCAAAGGTGCATGCTTCATAACATAGTCGGGAATGTCGCGAAGGATCCTTCGGCGGTGATGGAGGTTCCTCTTGCGGTCTTGACGAGGAATGTTCTCGGGCTCCCAAGACAGAGACCGACGCTTCAGCTCACCCCATTCGGGCTCGTCCTCGTCGTGGTTTTTGCGCGCGGCAGGATCGCTTCGGAGATGGTGCAGGCCACAGACACCAATCCAGCGGCAGGCTTGTCGATCCCAAAAGTAGGGACTGCTGTCGACCCAGCGACGGTCTCTTAAACGCTTCTCGGGGCCCTTGTCGGTTGGATCGAGTACACGAGGGGCCAGCCATGCGCCGAACGATATCAGCAGCATGAACGCCAGCAAGACGGTGAAGCGGCGTAACCAGTACATGGTTTCGGTGAGCGACGAGCCGATTTCGGCCCGGAAGTTGTATGTATGTAGGGGTCGGAAGGAATATTGTCTCCTGGATAGGTATATCACCAGGACGGTCTCGGCGTCGAGCGAGGCCAAAGAAGAGGAGGGGAGGAGGGGAGAAGATAGGCCAGCTATATGAGCATCACGAAGGAACGAGGGTATTCACGACGCCGCTGGCGGCAAGTCGTCCGGGGGGGGGAAGGGCTGGACCGAGGGTTGGGTTGGAAGGGATGAGGAGGAAAGAAGCTGCTGCAGGAGAAAATGGGAAGGGTCCAGAGAATAACGAAGGATGCATCCCCTTCAAGAAGGAAAAGACAGCGCTCAACGCCGTGGCCGTGGGATGGGGGATGGATGCTAAAGGCATGGATTGGCGGGTGAAGGTGAGACGGAAGAGGTGGAGGCGCTAGAACTGCAGCCCACTTGGGTAGTGCTCCACTTAGAAGAGAGGTACGGGTACCTTTCCGGGACTCTTCTGTCGTGCAGGGGGAAGGCACCACGAATCGAGGGGCCTGCCTTGCCGTTGTTTTTGGCCAAGGTGCGCAGGTACGAATACGCATACGTTATTACAGAGGCAGGACACCGTACTTAATGACCAAAGTACTTGATGGATTACAATTCCCGAATTATAGATAGAAGAGTGCATGGCTTATCCGTCGTTGGTGTGTGTGCCTCTATTATTACTCTCTTCAGAGACGACTCGATTCATGGCGAAACCATCCTCTAGTTAGATAGTGCCTGACTATCATGGGCAAAAGACCAGGTCCGGTCAGGTACCAAGCGGCACTTCTGACTGTACCGTACCGTATCTCGCAACTCTGTATTGGAGTTTATTGACGCCTCGTCAGCCATTGAGCGCCCTGTCCCCGTATCTACTCGCCTTGTCTCATACCTCGGGTACCTGGCATCCACTGCTGATCTTGTTGTATTCCACCGAGGCGAAGAAGAAAGAAAAAAACAAAAGGCTGGCTACGGTCTGTCAAACCGGATCATCCGCCGAAGGGACAGCGCAAGGCAGGGCCTCTTGTCCAGTGTTTTAGCGCCTCGTCAGGGATAGAAAAAGGCCGCTGGACCCCTCTCCGCGACAGGCTTCCCCTCCTGAACCCAGCGAGGCTTTGTCAATCACGCACAATGGCCCCGGCGAGCTAGACCGCTAACAGTCGTCAAGAGTACCAGCCTCTTCCAAGGCCGAGACCGCTACCGTGCATGTATTGGGTACTCGACCGCCACTAAGCAAACCACAGCCACCTCCTACAGGCTGTTTTGCCGCTGCCTACAGGAGGTACATGCCCGGAAAGCACATCTGCCCTCCGAGGCTTCACCGAAAAAAAGCGGGAGCCTGGCGATCTCTCCAAGGAACGTATCTTTGCTTACGACAACGAATACAATCAAGACAATGCTCCCTTTGAAGCATCACGAAGACGGCACAGCAGACAGACGACTTCACAGTGACATGCCTTGGAGGGAGAGAGGCCGGTCATCAGACGCCATCCTCCCCAACAAACAAAGCCCAGCAAGGACAACAACTGCGCGGTGGATGGGGCTGGCCCGATTCGTCTATGGTAGCGACGCCATCTACCTCCCCGATCGAGCCAGCCTGGGGTCAGGGTCCTGGCCTGTACGGAATTCCGTACCAAGGGAAGCCAGCCAGCTGTGGGTGGGTTGGGTTGGCTGACCTGGTCACTCTCTACCCACGAGTCACGAAGCATCAGAAGACGGGGTGAGCAAGTCATTCAGTGGCAGAAAGCCACTTAGCCCACGAGATTAGCTCACGGGCAGAGGCAATGGCTGTTCCAGACGGTGAACATGCAGATTTGTCGCATAGATCCGAGACAATATCTTGGTTCAAGCGATCCCTGACAATCGTCCGAAACACACTCGCTCAGGGTACCAGGTCGGGTCAGGTACCCTGAAGTATGTGTACACGGCCTAGATCTTCGAGTAATGCGCAGCCTTTGTCTGACAACACTTCAGCCTGGCGTCGACCTACTGTTCTCCCACGTTCTGGAGTTGACCCCATCTCTCGGAATAGCGTCGCGCTGGCCGGGCCGGGTCCTAGTTCGCCGCTCTCTAACTGTATACAGGGCTCGACACATTTGCCGTGTAAAGTCAAAAAGAGTCGGCCAGCTGAAATCAGCAATCCCCTGGGCAAAAACGGACGAGTCGTTCTCTCTCTGCGATTAACCAACAGAGGACAGGATATATCGCCCCATAACAGCATTGGCAATCATGGTCTAGCACCGCACCAACCACAGGCTCCCGAATGATTTCCCCCGGATTGTCATGAGTTGAGCGTCGCCCTCCACCATGGCTTCAGAATCAACCCCGGTCTCGGCCCAGTGGCTCTCTATTCCGACGAACCTGCCACTCCCACACCAACATGACCCGAGTCTTTAGCCAACCGTTTAAACCCCTCCTTCATGTCGACCATGGCCAATAGTGGCATCGTCGCGCGACGCGTGGGTTTCAAGAGAGGCCTTACCGCTTCACCGCAAGTGCCACGCGGCTTTCTCGTGATCCATTGCCATTCGCGCCGCCGTATTGCATCGCCCTGTTGTGCGCCGTAATAGTCCAGCCCGTGGGAGTCCAGTACACACATCCAATACGAAATCTAACAGTTAAATCACATCCAAGTCAGCACGCATAAGTCACAATGACGATTTCATCCATATCCATTGTAGGCGCATGCTGCGCCACGGGTATCATTATCATGCGCCGGTAGAGAAAATCATGTCCGTGTCTCCGCTTCCGCTGCTCAACCAAGGCCTTTCAAGACGCCCTCAACTCAATCACGAGTTGTTCTAAATCGATGATCGGGTATCGCTTTGACAAGATCTCGGCATTGGTCACACCCTGCCCACCTAATCTGCCATTGACATGTCACCGTCATCGTCGTCGTCGGTCTCGCTTTGGTTGTCCTCGTCATCGTCCATACCGTCATCCTCCCTCTCAAAAAGATCATTCCACCGGCTAGGCGTTGGCGTCGATAGAGCCCCTTCTTGTGCGGGGCTGCCGAGATCTCCCCTCGTTGATGTTGGTGCTGCGGTAGATGTTGCTCTGCGTCCGCGACCACGACCCCTTGGTCGCCCAATTTTTCGTCCAGTTCCGCGTCGGCGCTCGCGCTTTGGGATAACTTCCTCTCCGTCTTCGTTGAACATCCTCCTCCTTCGCCGAGGCTTGTAATCAGGGTCTCGGTTGTCTTTGAAATCTTTGCCCTCACCATCCTTTGCCCATACTGTGACCTGGTCTGTCTCGCCCTTTTGTTTCTTGAGCGCAATCAAATTCTCCAAGAATCGCGTCTGCTGAGCTCGTTCTCCTGATCTATCCTTGCCGACTGGAATTCGGATGTTCCATTCCTCTCGAATAGCCGCCAAAGGGTCTTCCCGAGAAATCTTTGGCTTCACCAAGTTTTCGGTCGTAGTAATTCTCGACGCGCAGGCGCCGAGAAAGTCGATATTTCCATCCAGACGGCGTAGAGCAGGCAATGGGTTCTCGTTGTCGCGTACCGCAAATATGGCTTCTGTGCCGATGATTTCGGCCCATTGTCCCTCGAAAACGCGGCCTTTGTATGCTATGACGGGGTTTTGAGAGTGAAGCTCTAGTATTTGGATATCTTCTGTATCGTCCTGGTTCTTGTCGCCGTCCTCCTCCCTCGTGTCTCGAGCATCCACGCCCTTGCCCTTGTCGTTGTTCTCGTTATTGTCATTGTTGAGCTCGGGGTCGATCTCGGGTTCGTCGTCGTCGGCCTCGGGCTCTGGTAGCGGCTCGTTGTCGTTATCATCGTCATTGTCTGCTTGGTTATCCCGGCCACCGATGCCCTTCATCTGGCTAGGATTATGATCTAGCCAGTTCTTGTAGTACCCTCCCCGGCTGTGGTGAGGTGCTCTGGATTGTCTGTCTTTGAATTCGGGATATGAAAGCTCGAGCGTCAAGTAGTAGGTCTAGAGAACGTCAGCGCCAGGCAGATGTTGGTGGGTTGGAGTGGATGCGCACTTCGGTCTCGGTGGTGGAATACTCATACTCCCAGTCTTCTTGCTCATCTCGTTCTAGCTCATCTTGAATTGCGAGAACAGCCGGCGTGTCGGCCAATGTAGTCTCGTCCAGCGATGAAGCCATACTGCCGGCAGAAGAAAGAGGGTGAAGCTAAAGCTTGGAGGAGCTCAAGATGAGTTCCAAGACTGTCACCAAGGAGGGAGCTCCCCCGTTGGGTAGCCTCGACAAACGAAGCCTTTGCGACAGTGGAGGGGTATAGAGAGTTGAAAAAAGGTTGGAGGTTGTCGAATCGCGGAACTTTCGGATAGCTACTTGCCAATTGGAGAACAGACAATTCAAGGTCGCGCAAGCTGGAAGTCGGTCACGGGTGGCACTTGCAACTGGGAAGAAAAGTCAATGGCTGCGACTGCGGCTGCGGCTGCAGGGATTAGGCGGGGCATTTCAGTCCAGGTCGCGACTGCCCCGCTATCGCTCTTTGAATTTCGAGTCCTGTCGCATCTCGACAAGCCTCATTGGACTCAGACTTAGTCACATCTTGACATTTTCAAGATACCCCCTTTTTGACTCAGACTGGGCGTCTAGAGCCTCAAAACTTAATTGTCCTTCTCTCCGCTCTTTGCTGTTTAACTTTCCTCTCTCTTGCTACGGCTTGATCTCTCATCCCTACCCCTCCTCACGCATCTCTCCCCTTCTGCTCATAATATCTCGGGCAAGATGCCCACTGTTCACCTGTTGGACTATGTCGCCGGCAACGTCAGGAGCCTGGTGAACGCCATTGAAAAGTCGGGCTACGAAGTCGAATGGATCAGATCACCAGAGGAGGTCCCCAAGGCAGAGGTTCGGCGAGTTTCCTTCCCTCTCTTTGTTCATCATGACTGACGCATCGTCGTCTTCTAGAAACTCATCCTCCCCGGTGTCGGCCACTTCGGACACTGTCTCTCACAGCTCTCCCAGGCCGGATACCTTGAGCCTATCCGGAAACACATTGCGGAAGGCAAGCCCTTCTTCGGTGTCTGTGTTGGCCTTCAGGCTCTCTTCGAGGGCTCAATCGAGGACCCGGATGTGTCCGGCCTGGGAGTCATCCCCGCGGCCCTGGACCGTTTCGATGACTCGACCAAGTCAGTCCCGCATATTGGGTGGAACAATGCCTTTACTGGAGGAAAGGCCATGTACGACCTCCAGCCCGACTCCAAGTACTACTATGTCCACTCGTACAAGTGTGCCTACAAGCCGGGCGAGCTTGAGTCCCAAGGCTGGACTGTAGCAACTGGTACCTATGGCACCGAGACTTTCGTGGGTGCCATTGCCAAAGGCAACGTCTACGCAACACAATTCCACCCGGAGAAGTCTGGCGTTGCCGGTTTGAAGACTCTTCGCGCCTTTCTCACTGGCGAAGGTCTGAAGAACCTTGGCACCGTTGTTGACGAAGCTGTTGCTAGTGCACCGGTCGAGTTCAAGGACAGTCTCACACGACGAGTCATTGCCTGTCTTGATGTTCGCACAAATGACCAGGGCGATCTTGTTGTCACCAAGGGCGACCAGTACGACGTTCGAGAGAAGAGCGACGACCGCAGCGTACGTAACCTTGGCAAGCCCGTTGAGATGGCCAAGCGCTACTATGAAGCTGGTGCCGACGAGGTGACCTTCCTCAACATCACTTCATTCCGGGACTGCCCCATTGCCGACCTTCCCATGCTCGAGATCCTCCGCCAGACGTCTCGCACCGTCTTTGTGCCACTGACCATCGGCGGTGGTATTCGTGACACCGTGGATACGGATGGGACAAAGGTGTCGGCCCTCGAGATCGCCACCATGTACTTCAAGTCTGGTGCCGACAAGGTGTCGATCGGCTCTGATGCTGTCCTCGCCGCTGAGGAGTACTACTCTCTCGGACGCAAGCTATTTGGTAACACGGCCATTGAGCAGATCTCGCGTGCCTACGGCATTCAGGCCGTCGTTGTCTCCATCGACCCCAAGCGCGTCTATGTCCCCAAGCCCGATGCCACTCGTCACAACATCATCAAGACGAATTTCCCTGGCCCCAAGGGCGAGGAGTACTGTTGGTACGCCTGCACTATCAAGGGCGGCCGTGAGACCCGTGACATGGATGTTGTTGAGCTTGTCCAGGCCGTGGAGGCCATGGGTGCCGGCGAGATCCTCCTCAACTGCATCGACAAGGACGGCACCAACAGCGGCTTCGACCTCGAGCTCATCAACCAGGTCAAGGCCTCTATCAAGATTCCCGTCATCGCCTCGAGCGGCGCTGGAAACCCAGGTCACTTCAAGGAGGTGTTTGAGAAGACCACGACCGACGCCGCCCTCGGCGCTGGCATGTTTCACCGTGGCGAGTACACAGTCAAGCAGGTCAAGGATTATCTACAAGAGCAGGGACTCAAGGTGAGACAGTTTGAGGAGGAATTTTAGATGACGATTGGATAGATCAAATACAATAAAAGTTATAGACCATGCCACAGAGTGCGATAGATTGATTTCATATCGTTCCTAGTCACAGGAATGTGCTACATAGAATTTCCATACTAAAAGCCAATAAAGCAAGAGACAAAGGCTGGGTACAGGTACAGGTACAGGTACATCCATACGCTTCAACACCTTGGAATCCATAGCATCAACAAAGAGAGATGCGCCAAAAGCCCTGGGGAATTGTGGTTTTCTGCAACTCAACGCCCGAATGCTACCAGACGTCTCCGAGAATAGCAGAGCAAACCGCCGAGAGAGCCTCCAGATCAAATTTTGGTAAACACCAACGAACTAGAACGACATAAGAGAGACGTAGGAAAAGGCATCCTTCCACTCCACCAACTCCGTTGAAGTAAAAATGACACCTACAGCTCCATACCCATCAACATCCACCTCTTGCTCGTGACATCGAGGTCATGAGCCCAGTGATCAAGGGTAATCATGTCGAAGCCAACCCACTGAAGACTCTTGGACAGAGACCGCGCCTCATCCACAGGAATGCGCCTATCAATGCAAGTGACAATGTGGGAACAGTCCAGAGGACCGTCAGCCAGTTCGATAAGGGCCATGAGACTAGATGTTACGTCAGCATAGATCATGAATGTAGGGGAATAGTAAGACATACGCCTTTTTCAGGTCTCGGCCAAGAACGCCTTGGATGTCGAAGAAAACAAAGAGGGTCTTTTCCTCTCCATCGTCAGCGACAAAGGCACGGAAGCTCGCACCACCGGCATAGTCCCACATCTCCAGCCAGGCAGTAATGTCGTAGCCGGACAGCTTTTCGTCGGAGAGCTGCTTGAAGTGTTCGGGAAGCCGGTCATCGGGCGGCGGCGTTTGCAAATAAGCACCAGACAGGCCGGAGCCATTCATCGACGAATTCCTCTCACCGTGGAAAGTCGTCTTCATGGACTCGCAGAAGAATCTCTCACATTCTTCCCTGATCGAGAGTGCTGCCCCCCCTCGTCGGGCCAGGCGCCGGCCTGGGATCTCGCGCTTCTTGCTCTTGGGCAGAAGGGCGAGCTCGTTAGACGAGGTTAGTGCGGCGAGGGGGGGACTTGTCGGAGGGGAGGGTAGGCCTGAGGAAGGGACCTCAGGAATACCACTCGGCCCCTGTGAAGAGTCAGCGACGTGTTGTGACTTTGACGAAAGGAGAAAACGTACCTGCAACCCCGGTAGTGCAGTAGTGGAGGCCCTTGAGGTTGGCGACAGAGTCGACGATGTAGCAAGAGGCAAGGACATTGACCTTCTGGGCAACGGCCTCGCCGTAATTACTACTGTAATTCAAATTTTGGGTTTTCATTGGCGCCATTGCTGATGATGTTGTACAGGTGTCGGACTGAGTGGTGATGGCTGACGTGGATTGAGGGTATGAATCGGCAGAGGAAAGCTTGGTGGTGTTGTGTGACTCGTGCAGATTTGTTGTCAAAAACTCAGAAGTGATTTGGGACAGGAGGTGTTGAAATATTTGGATTCGTCGGTTGGTTCTCGTAGAGACGTTTGCGATGAAAGGCAACTGGACAGGAATGTCTCGGTCGTTGCTAGACGGTGCAAGAGTTGGGTTTTGGGCAGCGGTGAGTTCGGGGACGGAGGATGGATGTGACGGTGGAACAAAGGAAGGGACGGGGGGGAATTTGAACCTCGGGGTGCTCGGGGCAGGAGAGAGGACCCGGATGTGTGCTGCGGGCAACTGGCTCTGGGTGGGTCCTCGCCTGAGGCTCTGGGCTGGATTTTTGACCTTTGTGGCGGGGCCTTTGCCACTGTAGCAGCAAGGCTAAGGAAGCTGCTGACAAAAACATGTTGGACACTTGCTTGAATTATCAGCCCTGCTCATTCTTGTCTTTTCTGTCCAACCCTTACGCAACACTAACGCGAACGCCTCCACACAGCACATGTCCAAGTCGACTGGCCTCCGGCTGTCGATCACCGCTCTGCAGACGGCTCAATGCAACCAATGACCAATCCAATCCTTCCGGATATCCATGGCCTGACTAACGGTTGTGAAAGTCCGACACAGCACAGCGCAGTCAGCACAACGTCCACGATAACAGAGACTTGGAAGGGAAGATACGCCATGGTTGATTCCTGTCGTCTGCCGGATGCAGCCGCAGCATTAGCCAACCACTAAGAAACAAACACCAAAGGATGGGAAGCAACGCTTGTCTCAGCCGCACAGTTATGTGCCACCGTTGTCTCGCGAAGGGTCTGGGGTTGGGGTCTGCGTTGCGCATCCTGCAAGTGGGCGCTTACTCAAGACCATGTCGCAATCAAGTGCCACACAAATCATCACGACCCTCCACAACCTCCACCATTATGGCATCATCGCCTAGGAAAGGGTCTCCAATTTGCATGATCACAAGGAGAAAGAAAAATCTGATGTGACTCAATCTTATCCGCATTCTCCTCTTTTTCAAATTGACCCTCCACTTTCGTGGCAATCGACAACAACTTCATGATCACTATGATTCATCCCAATCTCCTTCTTTCTCGGTGCTAAAAATGACAGTCTCGGCCGCCCGCCAAGACTAGCCCCGGTCGTGTAAGTTGATTGGTGGGCTGCCACACTCTTTACCATCCGACCCCGCGTTTTGATGCGTCCTCTTCCTCCTGGGGGAAGCTAGGGAAGGTTTCCGGTTCAGACTATCACCGAAGCATCCATATCCATGTTTTTGGCAGCGGTTATCCTGCTCGGAAGATGCAGCCAGAGTTGCAGATCAGCAACCCGAACATCCAAACCTGGCTTATCCCGACCTCACGTGAGAACACCATGCATGAAGCTTCCCAACTACATTCGTTGACCAAGCCAAGACAAAAGCATCATCTTTATCCCTCTTCAACGAGAACCCCTCAATATTTGCATGATGACATGTCCATCATATCATGGTCCATCAGTCAGCTTCTCTATCCTGTCTTCACGTCTATAACCATATTGCTCAGCCGTAGACCGACATTAGTATTACTATCATACAATGTATCCCACATCTTCCACGTCACGTATGTACTATCCTAGACATCTTATATTCCAACGCATCCATCCATCCATCCATCAATGTTTTCTTATCGTGCATTCATCCATGTCGTGCACTGAGGCTAGCAAAAGCGTCAGGGCTGTGTCGACCGTTCGTCCATGCAAGATCCAGCCCAAGGTTCATGCTCTCACGGCTCCTTGCAGCAAAGGGATCTGACGTAGTCGTCGTGTTGGTGTGAACTGCGGCTGCGGGAGCGGCGCTCATAAAGGGGTTCGTGCTCGCTGAGAGCGGCTGAGAAACGCTGCGGTTCTGTTGCACAGGTGCCACAGGCGTTTGCATTGGCTGATGCTCAGGAATGGTTGGTGGTTGAGATGGCTGCATCGGCTGTGTCATAGGGTTCAGCGGCTGTGCAGGTTCAGGAGCTGGCTGCTGGGGGGTCATCTGAGGATAGTTGCCGAAGAGCGCCATGATCGAGGCTTTATCGGGTCTTTGAGGTTGATAAAACTGTTGCTGTTGTTGCTGTGGCACCTGTGGTTGCTGGCTATAGAGTTGTTGGCCAAGCTGTGGTTGACCAAACGGATTATTGCCTGCTTGCATCTGGGGCTGTGGCTGGGTTTGCTGAACCACATTCTGCTGAATATACGCCTGTTGACCCACCTGCGCAGCCGGCTGGGTAGCATTCGCAAAGAAAGGGTTTGTCGCCGTTTCGGGGGGGTTCATGGGCGCTGGACTCTGATATACAGCAGAGCCCTGGAAGACAGATGGGCTCTGGAACGAGGTCTGCATCTGTTCAGGAATCTGCCCAAGGCTTGGTGATGCGATGCGAGTCGGGGAGCGCGCAAAGGGATTGTATCCTGCTTGGCCCTGGTTTGTGTTGACCGAGATGATTGAGTTAGGAACCTGTTGCGGTTGCTGCTGGATGGGGTTTATGGCATTCGCAAAGAACGGATTATACCCGGTAGGTTGGGCTTGTATTGTCTGAGGATATGCCATGTTGTTATTAAATCCAACTGATACGAAGCCGTTCGGGGTCGTGGGAGCTGAGGGAGCTACTGCCTGCTGGTAAACCGCCGGTTGCTGAGTTGGCTGTGCCGCAGGCCCTCCTGTGTGGTGAGGGAATAGGGGTTGCTGAGGAGAAAGCGACATATTCTGGAAGGCCTGGCTGAACGGGTCGGTCTGTTGTTGAGCGGCCGGCGCACCGAAGGGGTTCGTCTGACCAAACGCATTCCTATTCTGGAGACTGCCCGTGGACTGCGCCGTCTGGGGTTGAGCCGGTCCCAGGTTGTCGAACGGGTTCGTCGAAGCACTCGAAGGCGTGGTTGGTCGGTCTGTGGCTGAACGAGTCGGAACACTCAATCCAGCACCAAGTCCCAGTCCTCCAGAGGTTGGCGTCAGAGGCGTCAAAGACCTCGACGTACGCAGAGTCTGTTCTCGCGGCGAGGGTGTAGGAAGAGGAGAGGGTCGACCACCACCCTCGCCCAGGCGCACAAGAGTCTCGATCGCTCGCTCGATGTTACCATTGACGCCCTTTAACACCAGCGCATTCCTTTTGGTGTCGTGAAATCCCATATCGCGAAGCCTTGTCAGCTTCTGTTCCATATCGTCAGGCTGGTCGAGGTCTAGCGTCGCACCGAAGACCTTGGACGGCTTGTTGGTTGGCCTTGGGGAAGAGCTTCGCACATCCTGAAAGGCCGCGATCGACCTAGCCTCCTTCTTCGACTTGGATGACAAAGGGAAAATGGACGAGGCTGATCGAAAGCCAAACTTGGTGGTCGAATTCTTGGGAGGTAGAGGAGGAGGCACACCCTCGCCTAGGCTGGGCGACTTGGGCTTTCCAGCCCCAGTTACGGTGTTATTCATATACTTCTGGCGGATGAATCGCTCCATGGCCGAGTCGGCTTCATCGACGTCGACGGGGACAGGTGGCTTGCGGTGTTCTGGGTTGTAAATATTGTTCGAGGTAGTATTTCCAACCTTTCGCATATTCTGGAGGTGTGTGAGTAAATCGATGGCTCTTGATCAGACGGTTGGGTAGTCCAGCTGCTCACGTCGACTTGTTCGTTGCTCCAGCTGTCCATGCTTAGAGACTTGACCTTGGAGATGTGCGTGCCCAACTTTCGATGGATCGCGGCACATCTCATACACAGAAAAACGCCCAACTGGTGTTCGCATTAGCTCGGTGTTCGTCGCGGGGGGTACAGCATGCAGCGCCATGCCGTTCGAGAATCTTACACTCCATGATGCCCAAGCTGAATACAACAGATCATGTTAGCGAGACCATCCACATTTCGAGCACGGTGTCCCGGGCAGACATCGAGGCATATTTGAGGCATACCTGGATTGCGCGCGTGACAGTCGGCGCACATATTGTTGCCCGGAACATTGTGGACGAGCTCCTGGAGGGCCTTCTCGTTCCGCGCCTGCTGGCGCTTGCTCAGTATGCCTGACATGATGGCGGGGTCTAAGCAGATGTGGTCTCGGGCAGTCTCTCAGGAAAGCACGGTGCCAGGAAGATTATAGTCGGGGTGTAACCGCGTCGAGTCGATCGCGGGGACGAGTTCCCCGATGCTCGCGAAGGACAAGATTCGGCGGGCGGAAGATGGAGACGGAGACCGGAGGCCGGAACGGGGTCGTCGTCGTCGAGAACGGAAAGACACAGGGGATCAAGGATCAAAGCGATGAAGCAACGAATAAAGCAATGATTAACGGAAAGCCAGGCGAAGGAGAGACGGAAAGAAGATGCGGATTCAGCCGCTCACGAGACGACCTGGACGAGACCCAGAAGGCGAATCACGAGAAGGAAAAGAAGGAGGAGGGATGGAAAACTCAAGGAGTCGACGGGGAGGCTATTGCATGAGGATAGCGTCCCGTCGCGCTGCTGTGTGCGATTCAGGTCCAAGCGGTACAGCGGGTGCAGGTGCGGGTGCCAGTGCGGGTGCGGGTGCACTTGCCTCGCCAGGGCGTCCGGTGCACGCACTTGTCAGGGTTTGGCCTCGCCTTCCTTTCGCGCAGGCCAGAAAAGGGGAATGAGTGCTCCAGCAGAATTGGCTGGGCAGGCTGGTACCTCAGGGAAATCAGGAATGGAACATCACCAAAACCCCCTGCGACCCCCCTATCGCCATGAGAGGCCCCTGGCTTTCAGAAGGGATTCCTCTAAGCCACAGTGGAGTTCTTCACTCAAAATGTGCTCCACAGGTCCCCTAAGGTTCCCTTCTAGGCCATCCGAACTGGGTCTAGCCACGGATTAGTCCATCCACCAGTTGAAGCGTCTCGAAGGCCTTGGCTGCTTGGCTCGGCGACGGCGTCAGGGGCAGGTCGCGTGGATGAGACAGGGTTGAGACGA